CATAGTCAGCTATAAAAGTGGGACGAAAGATAACCGGGGAGAGTCCCCGACATGACAGCTGTTTAATAATTTAATTCAAACGAGTGAAAATAACGGTTTTACATGATAATGTACAAACGAGGACTGAAAAACGAATATGTAATACAGCAACAAATGACAACCACTGAATTACAGACTCCTGACCGCTATGTGATAATAACGGCAACCTTATAGTTTAACTTTTCACTTTTTGATGCGATAGGCATTTCAAAATGGTTGTCAGTAAAGGCAAAGTTTGTAGCGGAAACAAATTCATCTTTTTTTTAGAATAATGAACACTATATGCAATCAAGCTTAATTAAATTTATTCGCTTGCACCTCAGACTTGCACATACTAGAACTTTATTTATAATCAAGTCAAATGAGACCCAGTTGAATAGGGAAGCAATTCAAGCTCTTTGGAGCCTCTAATTATGTTAGGCATGTACAGATTTGTGTAAATTATGAAGTCGTGATTTCCATTGCAGGTTCTGAATAAGATAAATTTTAAGCTTTTCCCAATAAAGACTATGTTAAACTTTGGACTCATAGTGCTCAGACCCACGGATCTCTGTACCTTCATTTGTACACACTTGAATCTTAATGTAAAGTAACTACTGAGGCTTGATGCAAATTATTACTGCATTGCTATTGTTGGTTCTTAATGAGATTCTTCAAGCGTCCTCCCCATTGAAACCCTATTAAAACTTTGTACCCCAAGTTCTTTTAACCACTGTTCCCCAGGGCAACTATTCCTACAAACTTAAGGGGAGGGTTAGGATCCCGCTAACATGTTTAACCCCGCCACATTCTTCATGTATGTGTATGTCCCAAGTCTTTAATTTACATATTTGTTTTTCGTTTATTTTTGTACATAAAATAGGCCGCTAGTTTTTTCTCGTTTTAATTGTATTACATTTGTCATTTCGGGGCCTTTTATAGCTGACTATGCGGTATGGGCTGTGATCATTGTTGGAGGCCGTACGGTGACTTTGATTGTAAATTTCTGTGTCATTTGGTTTCTTGTTGAGAGTTGCGTTTTTTAACAAACCAGCGTATCCCAAGGCCTTGATAACCTCTGTAGGCCCCAAATAAGACGAAAAAAACATCAAAATTGGAGAGAAAACTGAAAAAAAAAGTTTCTAACCTCAGGGATATTAACCCTTGGCTATCTTAGATTTAATGCAATCAGTATGCATCAGCATCAGGGTACAGCTCATTTGCATATCATTTGCATATTTTTACAAATACTCGAAATTTAGACAATTTCTGATAACAATTCAGCATGCCAAGGGTTAATATCCCTGAGGTTAAAAACCATTTATTTCCAGTTTTCTATCCAATTTTGATGTTTTTTCGCCTTATATTTTGGGCCTGCAGAGGTTATCAAGGCTTTGGGATACGCTGGGTGAGATCCGTGGGTCTGAGCACTATGAGTCCAAAGTTTAATATAGTCTTTATTGGGAAAAGCTTAAAATTCATCTTATTCAGAACCTGCAATGCCAAACATAATGGGTCTCATTTGACTTGATTATAAATAAAGTTCTAGTATGTGCAAGTCTGAGGTGCTAGTGAATAACTTTAATTAAGCTTGATTGCATAAAGTGTTCAATATTCTCCAAAAAAAAAGATGAATTTGTTTACGATACAAACTTTGCCTTTACTGGCGACCATTTTGAAATTCCTATCGCTTCAAAAAGTGAAAAGTTAAACTATAAGGTTGTCGTTATTATCAGATAGCGGTCAGGAGTCTGTAATTCAGTGGTTGTCATTTGTTGCTGTGTTACATATTCGTGTTTCGGTCTTTGTTTGTACATTATTAAAACCGTTATTTTCACTCGTTTGAATTAAATTGTTAAACAGCTGTCATTTCGGGGACTCTCCCTCTGGTATCTTTCGTCCCTCTTTTATAGCTGACTATGCGGGGGCTTTTCTCATTATTGAGGGCATTATGATGACCTATAGTTGTTTATTTCTGTGTCATTTAGTCTCTTGGCAATCATAATACAGCTTGTAATTCAGTTGTTGTCGTTTGTTGATGTATATCATATTCGTTTTTCGATTATTGTTTTTTTTGTTCATAAATCAAGCCGTTAGTTTTCTCGTTTCATTTGTTTTACTTTTGTCATTTCGGGGCCTTTTTTTAACCATCTCTGTGCCATGGGCCACTTTTGGGCCATTTTTTTCGTACTACCAGTTGGAAAGCAAGTCCTTGGAAACGTCCGTTGTCGTCAAGCTCTATCAGCAACAATAGCAGGGGGAATTAATTAGATGGCGCTACAGTCGTCCGTGACGTCAAAAAGTCCGCCAAATCAATCGGCTTAAAGATTGACGTTTAAAGTATTTGTTTCAACTTGTCATGCTTTTATTATAATTGAATTTTAAAATTTGTAGGTTTTGCGACCAATATAGATTAAATAAGTCATTCAAACATGATCAAAAATAGCTTGTTATTGCTATTTCTTTATCCTGTCCGTTCTAAAAAAATTCAGCCATCTTTTTTGTTCGCCAAAAACATCGATTTTTCATAACTTGACGTTTGCGTATCCAAATACGGAAGAGAACGGTAATAATCTTAAATGAAACCGGGTAAACTATTTCAAATTTCTACACAATTTTGAAGCCATCATTTTTTACTATTATACATCAATTTTGGTGACCACCAGTCATGTCAATTTGTACCTGGTTCTGGCTGCGTTTCTACTTCAAAACAGTAAAGTTCAACTTCTTTTCATTGTACCTGTTTCCAAAGTACTCTAAAATACTGATATTATTAAAGATATGAATGAAATTGTGATTAAAAATTGTTGTTTTTCACAATTCCACACGATACCTCCATTTTAAAGTAATTAAAACCCTTTTTGATCCCCTACACAAATTGACGGTGACATTGTTTTCTTTTTCAACATACGTCATATAACGTTTACAAAATATGTGTCAGGGTCATGTGCATAGTGAAAATTTACACATTGGACAAGTGAAACAACAAAGTTCTTCTTTATGGCGTTTGAAACTATAGTATAGGTCTAAGAAAATTTCATTTATACTGGAAGCAAATATGACAAATTAATGATGGCCTATGGATAAACAAAAGCACAAAAATAGCAATAGAAAATGCATTGCAAAGAAAATTTCTGGAGGAAAAAACATATGAAAAAAGGAAAAGAAGGTCAGTTGATTATATTTATATTTATAAGTTAAAAACCTTGCTTATTAATTATCTCTTTACTAAGTAAGCTACATTAATAAGAGCAAACACTAGCTTTTCAAGTCAAACAAGAAATTAATTCATAGAGATGTGTTCTTACAAAATTGAATTTATTCAAATGGCAAATTCTTGTCAAATTTAATCATCATTGATCATTATTAAAGTAAAATGCACAAGATTTGTCATACCAACTTTCATTTCTGAGATTAATATCCAATTATTCAGATAAAATATACAATACTTTGTTAATAAATATGTAAAGCAGCAGATACAGCAACCTGAAGAGAAGAAGTCCCATTTTTTTTTCAAAGAGTTTACTTTCATAATCTATAAAATACCCTGAGAAATTGGACAAAGGCTACTGTGCTAGCTAATCTAATAGTTGAATTTTACAATAATAATGATTTTTAAATTCAAAATTATGTCACTTTCACTTATAATTTTAAGCATTTTTTTTACAGAATTTTTGTCATTTTTTTGGTAAACTTTTCCTTTTTCTGTAGGATATTTTCTAGGCTGTACTGTACTGTTCAACTAAGAAACATAGGCTTGAGTTTAAAGGCTTTTTTACTTTGAAGAAACTAAATTTTGACTCTTGGTCCCACTATATTAAAATATAAAATATATAAAATGGTCAGTACTATTTTTTTCAGAAAGATTATTTAAATTGTATACAGTATGTTTTATTGCATTAAACATTGTTAGAAGTAGTTAAAAATCCATTAGGAGTGATCCCATATCCCATTATAAAAATTGCAAACTGAAAGTAAATGTCATCAGCCAGAGCTAATTTATATCAGTTCAGCTAGGTTTCTAGATCTTATTTTTACCATTTTTTTGTCTTTTAATTTTTACCTGTAATCCTTCTCTGAAAAGTAGGGAAGTATCTCTTCTTAATATTATAATAACATAGTTGTTAATCGACTTTCTTTTATTTTCTTCTTGATTTTTGTAAAATAAACTCCTTTTTATTCATTTTGGTGTTTTTTTATTTTGACTGGTGGTATCAAGGGGAGATAACCACTTGCACAAATCGGCAAAAAACCACCGCTTCGTGTTGAACATAACTTGACGTTTGCGTATCCAAAACTGTATTGCCTAGATATTCATATCGAGTGTTTGTCTTAATGAGATGCTTAATTAAATTTAAATTCAGCCCATCATTTTTAGTTTCCTCGAAAATATTTAGATTTTTCGATCAGGAGCATGGACAATTTTCACACAAACTTCAAGTTTGAAGATAAAATAAAGAATAAAGGACTTTGAGTTGATGTGAAAGTTTTGACGAGTTAAAACTATGTATATTCAAGATTATTTTGATCAATAAGTTTTTACCATGACAGTGGTATTTTAGTGAGTAAAAGTGAGGTTTGTCTCATCCGTAGTTTTACTGAATTTTCACGGTCACGTGACTATTGTTGCTGATAGACTTGGGGTCAAACCGTGACCTGCTTTCCAACTGCTACGTTCAGTGCCACGGGGCCACTTTTGGGCCATTGTGTTTTTTACTCTGATGCTGTGAAATGTACTATGACGTAACGTCATTATTCGTGCTTCTTTAAAATGCATAAAGCGCGCCAAATTCTTTAAATCTTGTATTAATTAAGAAAGGTGCGTGCAAATCATAATTTCTTACTAAATACGTATTTGATGAATAGTATTTCCCTAAAATTTTTATAATGAATCAATAGGAATCATTCACGACTTTTCACGCGTGGCGGCGCTGCGGTTCCATAAGTGGTTACTTGAACGCTTCATTGCCTTCAATCACGTAAAACGCTTGCATCAGTATTTACAACGTAAACAATGGCATCCGATGATTACAATACCTGGTCTGTTTCAGAACTAACGTTACGTGGAGCTGTCACAAGAGACAGAAATATAGATCTTATAGAAAGGTAAACGATGTATTTAAAAAATATTGAGATTTCTTCTATTATGAGCGGAAACGCCGCTACAGTACATTGCCAAAAAGCTTTCGTCACCTACATTTTTGGGCTATATATTTCATATAAAAAGACGTTTATTGGAGGCATTTATGGTTGTATTTTTACAAATAATGTGTTGAAAAACGCTGAATTGTATATAAAGAGTATTTGTTTGTTTTGTCATAGCTCTGTCATCTGTCAATGTCTGTTGTTTTTATTTTCTCCTGATGTGAACACATATACTATTTTTTACAATTTAATTTGGTTGAAATATAAATATATAGCAAGATTGTTTATAATAGACAATAATATTTATGTTTATCTCAGAAGAAAATGAAAATAAATAATTATTCTGCTGTTGGTACCAAGTTGCATAAAATCAAATCAGAAATGTCCCCTAAAATGGCTAAAAAATCTTTTGAAATGCAATTTTATATGAAATATTTAGTGTGAAATACCAAGTGACAAATACATGTACCCCAAGTTAGAAAAAAGCAAAATAGAAACCCTACTGAACATATAAATAGTCATGAATATATAATTAAACTTTCTAGGATACATTTAAATGATTTTGTATAATAATAATTAAAAATAGGGGTTCTATACAATTATACTTGTAATTATACTGTAGAAAAAAATGTTCCTAAACTAGTAAAAAGGGTTATACCTCTGTTGTTTGAAGGGCCATTAAAACATCTTCCTTTGAAAATGGGTTAAATAAATTTTCTCTCCAATAAGAACTTCTTGCTAGAGAGAAAATTTTATTAATTTTTAAGAAAAAAGTAATGTTTTATAATTTTATATACATATCATGCCCAACATTCAGCATACAAGAATTTTTCAAAATTTCATTAGTTATACCATTAAATCCACATGATATCTTGTTTTTCAAATATTTCATGGCAAGCAGAATTTAATCTATGTAATAGTACTTTAAAAAATCTTTACCTACATGTTTTAAAAAAATTCAGACCATTCCTTAGCTTGTTTAATTAAACTTTGGCTGGAACATGCATTAAATATTTGTCACTGGACATTAAGATTCCAACAATCAATCAATATATTTGAACTTGAATCATTGATTTCTTTCCTTTTTGTCTTGCCTTGACAGAGTCCAAAAGCAAGACATAGCATATATTAGGTATGCTGTTTTCAGCGTCATCAACAATGTATTAGTTAGTAAAGTAATATAAAGTAGTGAAATATTGCAGACATTTTCTACTGGTAGATATTTGTAACCATGAAAGACAATATATTCATTATACAGTTTTCATGATTAATCACACAGGCACTTGTCTCAAAAAAAATTTCCTATATACCTTAATATAACACGTGTTATAAGAATTTTTTTTCTGAGACAAGTGCCTGTGATTAATCGCTAGCCCTTCAAGGCCAGGCCAGATTATTTTTTGTAAGTATAGATAATTGTTAATGTGTCAATCCTAGTCAGGAGCCTTTAATTTAGTAGTTATAGTTGGTTAATTTCTGATATATATACATATATATTTGTTTTTTTATTGTCTTATTTTATAATTTAAAATCAAGCCATTAGTTTTCTTGTTTGAATTTTCTTTCATTTTTGAATGTTGTGACCTTTGTAGCTGACTAGTACTATGTGATTTTTTCTTGACTGTATTTTATTTAATAATTTGACTTTTTTTATCTTTTGTAGAATCAATTAGAAGAGCCAAAATTTATAAGCTTAGATTCAAAACATTCTGGAGGAGCAGATTGTGTGAAGGTATTTATCCTTTTATAGCCTCAATCTATATCACAAAATTGTATTTGTGTTAAAATATACAATTACCATTAAGAGAGTTGATTTTTTGTAAGACCAAGTAAAGGTTACAGGTCCTAATCTCAGTTGGGAAAATGGTACTGTACAGTTTTATTTAAGTACTGGTGAACTCTACCGTTACAGACTCGTATGATAATAATACACCTGAAACTCCACAGATGTACGTGTATATCTTCCGAATCCAGCCACACTGATTAGATGTCGCTTTTCAATATAAATTTTTATGAAACCAGACTGGATTAAAATAAAATTTTCTTGTGTAATTTGAAATTTAAATTATCTCCACTAGTTTACTCACTAAACAACAGGACTAATCTGTAAGCATTTTCTTTACAGAAGCCAGCAGAAGTCAAGAGAAATAAAAAGAATGGAACAAAAGAAAAATTGAAAAAGAACAGTGAAATGACAAAATTAAATAAAAATTTTGCATTTCTTATTGTTGTTATCTTGTGTATTGTTGACCAAGACAGCAAAGAAAACCATCGAAAAGCTGTTCAGACAGAAAATGACAGATGCTACACATGATCAAACAAAAGATAAAAAAACACTTTTAAGAAAAAATTTGTTCAATGCTGGACCAAATGAAATGCATGAGGATATTTATAATCTGAAATAAGATGCTTTGCTGAGCGCAGCATGATACGACCGCAGAGGTCGAACCCTATACAGTTGGGGCAAATTTGGACACAATATTCAAGCTTGATACTGTCTGAATTTGGATTGTAATCAAATTTTTGACATAATATAGGTTTCTGACACAAAATAAATGTGGACTAAGATCTTTTAAATCCATTGCACAATACTGTGCAATTGAAGATTTCTTCTTGAAACATTTCAAAAATTCGAAATTTAAAAAATTTTGAAAAAAAATATGAATCCCTTAAAAAAAAACTGTGAAAAAATCCCCCCCCCCACTTTTTGACCCCCCCCCCTTGGAGCAATAACCCCAAAACTCAATCCCAGCCTTTCCTTTGTAGTATGGAACCTTGTAGTACAATTTCAGAGAGATCCATACACTTACACACAAGTTATTGTCTGGAAACTAGAAAAATGCTTGTTTTTGGCCCCTAATTCCTACATGTTTGGGGCAATTAACCCCAAACTCAATCCCAGCCTTCCCTTTGTTATATGGAACCTTGTGGTACAATGTCAGAGAGATCCATACTTACACACAAGTTATTGTCTGGAAACTAGAAAAATGCTTGTTTTTGGCCCCTAATTCCTAAACTGTTGGCCCTATAACCCCAAAGATGAATCCCAACCTTCTACTTGTGGTATTAAACATTGTGGTACGATTTCAGAGCAGTCGATATACTTATACACGTTATTATCCTGAAACTAGAAAAATGCTTGTTTTGGGCCCTTTTTTGGGCCCCAAATTCCTAAACAGTTGGGACTATCATCCCCAAAATTAATCCCAACCTTCCTTTTGTGGTATTAAACCTTCTTAAAAAATTTCATAAAGATCCATTCACTTAAACTAAAGTTATTGTCCGGAAACCAATGTGTCTTCGGACAACGACATCATACCATTATACGATCCCAAAAAAATTTTTGCGGTCGTATAAAAATTAATACCTCTATGTAAGTGAAACAAATTATGCGGTATGGGCTTTGCTCATTGTTGAAGGCTGTACGGTGACCTATTATATATAGTTGTAATTATTTCTGTGTCATTTGGTCTCTTGTGGAGAGTTGTCTCATTGGCAATCATACCACATCTTCTTTTTCATATGTGTTCAGTGCAAAATTCAAAAAAATGGACTATTCAATAAAATTGATATCTAAGACAGGAAATATTGGGGTTTGTCAATGAGACATTAACCCGACAAAAATAGACAAAATATATATAGATTAAGCCGGCATCAACAGCATGCAGACAAATGTAAAAGGAGATGTGGGGTAAAGATCAGTATGACGGCAGTTGTTTTCTCAAATGTGGATCCAGGATTTTGAATCTAGATAAAGTGAGCCCCCCACTCCACTCTGAAGTAACTGTATTAAAACAAAGTCAATGTAGGACTTTCTTTGAGATATTATTGTGTCTGGGAGACACAATTGATGCCCCCGTAGATGCAAAGTGTTATTTTAAAATAACTATAACATTTAACCGCTTATACCCCAAAAATGACAAAGTTCAACTATCTCCCAAAAGGGCAAATATCAATAAAAATCAAAACCATAACCACATGCACATCTTCAATATATGTACAAACAGACAGCAAAGTGAAAACTTCCTAGGATTCTAACTGTAGGAGGAGTTGTGCTGAATAACTATATACTCATAATGGGACGAACGGACAGACAGACAGGGGTAAAGTTATATGCCCCCAACTTTCAGTTGCGGGGGCATTAAAATGGGGTCATCAGGCCCCAAACTAGACAAAGTTTTGAGATTAATAAAAAAATCTGGATTTACCATAAATGTAGCTCCATAAGGGCCATAAAGGTGGACCCAGGCACCCCACTCCTAAATCTGTCTCTGATATTAAACATTGTTTATATGTTTCTGAATATTTTATAAAAAGACTTGAAAGATTATGTTAGAAAACATTTTTATAATGATATTTCGAATAACATTTAAATGATTTTTTAATGATTTTTTGAGAATATGAAGATTATTAAAACATTTTGTTAAAAAATATTTTTTGAACTTTTTCAAAGCATTTTATCCTGCAGAAATGAATTTTTATATGTTTTAAAAATGTTTCAGGGATATTTGATTAACAAACACATTCAAATCATTTATAAGACATTTTACAAACATTGTCGTCAAAATTCAGTAACATTTTAATGATGTTTTAAAAGTATCATGAAAATGTTTTGAAAATATTTTTAATGCCATACATTTTTGCATGATTTTGATATTTTTCTACAATATTTTTTCAACATTTTCCTATTTTTTTTGGTGCTAACTGGGAAAGCAGTGGTGAAACAGCACCACATTAGAACAAATAATAAAATCAATTGCATGTAAATCCATTTCATCTTTTATGCATATTTATTTACAATGTATTTTTATGAAATTAGAAAGAACACAGCAAACACAGATAATTCTGGAACCAAGTTGAATTAGAAGTTTCCACGTGGAATTACATGTTTCAGATTGTTTATTCCCCTGCCACAGCGGCGGAGGGGCATTAAGTTTTACCCTTGTGTAACTTTTAGATAATACAAGGACTCTTTTAATTTGAATTCGGTTGGACGACACTTTTCTATCACAAACTACTTTCTTCTGATCTAGTTGGAATTTCCCTTTCAGAAAAGTTTGTGTGTTAATATAAGGAACTGTCTTGGCTAGTAGATAAATCCTGTTCCATAATTCCACTATTTGCCATTTGTTGTCACCTTTGTCAAATTTTTTTTTACATCTGGTTCTGACAGAAGTATTGATCCTCGCACTTGCAGCCACTTGGATTTTAACCATTAATTCATTTCAAACATAAAGATGTATCCCAATCATCACTTCATGGTTGGGTAAAAAGTCTGTTATCCATGATGGCTTCTGAAATATTAAAACAGGAAAACACAAAGCATCATGTTATTTAATAAACTGCAGGTTCAGAAATTTTTCTTTTCATTCATAAAGGACAAGCGTTTAATGCAGGGATGTGTGTGATGTTTTTTTCTAACAAAAATACTCTTGATTTCCAACTTTGAAGAATAAAAAAAATTGGTCTGACAGCTTTTGCCATAAGTTTAATGTAAAGTCCTTAGAAAATTCAGACTTTATTGCGACAAACAAATAGAAAAATTATGCTCATATGTACCATGGTTTTTTTTTAGAATGCAATATAGGGATTGTCATATTTCCCAATACATGTAGTTCTCTTCCTTTCATGCATTGTTTTGTCAGGGAAATATATTTCACTTGCTATAATTAAGTGCACAACATAATTATTATTTCTTATTTACAATGCAAACAAAGGTAAAAGGGTGAAAAAATGTGAAGACTAGGAAAAAACTTACAAAGTGTGAGGGTATATTTGAAGAATAAAATACATCCCTGTGTCATCCCCCTATTTTAATAAATAATAACCTGTCAAATTATTGGGCTGTTTAATCGAGAAAAAATAAAACAAAGAGGTTAAATACTGTACTAAATATAAGAAAAATATAAATACATAATAACCTAATCCTGTTGTTATATAATCTCCTGGCATGGCATGGTTATCAGCTGGTTATGGCAAACTTGATCAAATATTTTCCGCCGGGTTTCCCTTGATATTTTTGATGGGTGGATCAACTCTCTTGATGCCTTCTCTCCATTTTAAAAGAATTTCATGGTCTTTTGGGAATCTGTGGTCCCCCTTCAGAATAATTGCAGCCGGGGACACAACAATTTTGGAGCTTAGTTTGGAGAAATTAGCGAGTGTCGATTGTAGTTACTAATGTAAACATGTGCAACGTAATGCGATTCAAGCGTCAAATTGATTAAAACGTTTCCGACAACCACTTATGGAACACCAGCGACGTCTACAGGAAGAAATATTACGAATGATCCCTATTGATCTCTAATACATATTTTTTCTCAAACAAAGTTTTATTTTCAATCATTATTGATTATCTCTTATTTTCGTTACAAAGTGAAGACTAAAGAATTTCTTTGCAAGTTGTTGAATGTTGTAGACATAATTTTTTGACAGTTACCTTTGAATTTTTCGGGTCACATTTTTTTCTAAATTGGTAGGTTACACTATAATATATATCCATATTTAAGATGATATTTGAATATACCCGGTTTTGTACTAGATAGACATGGTGACTAGATTCATTTTACACACAAGGTAAGCCTAATAGGAAGACCAGTTAATCTACCCGAAGTCACTATTCTGGCTCTTGACCGATCAGTCTATTCGTTCACTCTTAAATGTCACGTGTTTAGCGGAAAAGCAAATACCCAATATTCAAGTTCTGGTTTAACCAGGCTAGCTGCGGAACCGTAGCTCTTAGGTCCTTATGTTATATTTTGACTATTTGCGGACGGTCGCACACGACATGATACTTTTTACGAAGTAACCCACGGCTCTTTTTAACAAGGTATTTACAACGTAGGAACCCTGGGTTAGACCTGATGGTGTTGGGTCATATGTCTTTCCTCTATATATTATGGCGTGGATAATATATCCTGATACTGCTTCAACTAGCATCCAAACTTTTACCCCGAACTTTGAGCTTTTTGACGGAATGTATTGAAGCATGCATGTTCGAACACGCGTCCCTATTAAACTTTCATCTATACTTAAATTTTGTTCTGGTTTATAATGAAGTTTCAACTGACGATTGAATAAATCAATAAGGCACTGAAATTTTGCTGTTGGACTGTCGTTTGGATTTTCTTAGTTAGATGAAAAAATTTAAAAATGAGTTGAAATCGGTTGCGAATAAACATGTTCTTAAACCATTTTGTCTCTTGACTTGGCAATTTACTGTTCC